CTTTTTCTGGTTCTGTTTTTGTATTTCTACCATTAGTGTTCTCATTGACACTTCATTTTGTGTTTCTGCTTTTGTGATTTTCTGTTGCTTCTCTATTCAGTGCCCATTCAACTGACATATTTCTACTGGTGTTATGCCAGGATAAGATTGTTAACTGCCGTTAGCTGCTGTTATTTTTCATTGGGGGTTCTCATATCTTGTAATCTTTTATTTTGTGACTGTAAGGCAGAGTAAAAAAACAACAACACTGAGAATCAGAAATAAATTTGTGCTTTTCAGTACAAATTTAGCTTGAATGGGTATTGGTTGTGTTTTAACTACAGAAGTAGCTAGTTCTAGAATAAATGTGGGAATATGGAGAAAAGTTCTTTTAACAGCTCTCCCAGGTTGCTAAGGTTGTTTCCAATCAGACATTTTAGCATGTAATCATGGTTCATCAACAGCAATTTCATGGAGCATCCAGATAGCATCTTTGTTCTTTAGTTATTAGTCTACAAATTTCCCTTTCATGTTTTTTTTCCTTTATTGAATTGGGATATCCTAACCCCTGAACATTTGAGGAGTTCTACATACCTGCGTGCATATTTCTTTTTAACAATTTTTTAAATATTAGAATTCCGGAATTGCAGAATTCCAAATGAGTGTGCTTGAGGTTTTGAAATTATCTCTGTACCTCGCATATTTCTTTTTAACAATTTTTTAAATATTAGAATTCCGGAATTGCAGAATTCCAAATGAGTGTGCTTGAGGTTTTGAAATTATCTCTGTACCTCGCATATTTCTTTTTAACAATTTTTTAAATATTAGAATTCCGGAATTGCAGAATTCCAAATGAGTGTGCTTGAGGTTTTGAAATTATCTCTGTACCTCTCCCAGTGGTTGAATTTGTGCAGGTTTTCAGCAGTGCTAGAGAAGGAGTTGGCTACCTTCTGAGATGATGTCCAATTTCTGGGTCTAGCCTAAACCCCAGAATTTCCCAGTGACCTCCAATTTAATGCTTAACCTGCATAACTGTTTAAGATGAGTCAAGGTCTGCTGGGTTACCAGGTATAAATTAGTATTGTGTAGTGGTTAAGGTGCCAGGCTAGAAACCAGGAGACCATGAGTTCTAGACTTGCTTTAGGCACAAAGCCAGCTGGGTGACCTTAGGCCAGTCACTCTCTTTCAACCCTAGGAGGAAAGCAAGGGCAAACCACTTCTGAAACCTTGCCAAGGAAATTGCAGGGACTTGTCCAGGCGGTCGCCAGGAGTCAACACTGCCTTGAAGCGACCAAAAAAAGCCCCAAACCTATATGGAAGAAAAAGATACAGGATAGAGTCTAATTATCTATTTAAGCAGCAGAAAGAAACAATAGGGGTCCGCAAAATCAGCTTGGAGAAACTGTCAACTTTCCAAAGTGGAACTGGCAGACTTGGAAGCTTTGGGGATAGGAGAGGATGGAAGCATTCTATAGGAGCCAAAGTCATCTTGTCAGTAGTGGGTGCCACCAAAAGTATTTGTGATGTCATAATCAACCATACCCTGATATTTTATACTTCTGGAATTCCAAAGCTTAAAAAAATGATCCTAGATGCCAAGGTAGCTATGTGTAAAACAACTGCACACATGTTCATAATTATCCCTGTGTTATGGGGAATTACAATAGCAGTGGACAGGGATTGAAGAAATGCCAAGTGTGAATTTCCTTGAAATATTTAGAACAGGAACAATTTGTATAAACTGCACATTGCCGTTTTGAAAGCAACAAAAATGGAAAATTTACAGCATGATGCAAAAGAAGGCACAGCGCAGGAAAGCTGTTAAGGAGGAAGTCATAGTTATGTACTATATCCTGTGATGTTATTCTGTATTCATATTGTAGGAACCCTGTAACAACAAAATAAATGTTAGGCAACATTATATATATTTTTTAAACTGATACTGAGAATCAAAGTTATGATGACCAGAATTTTGTAATGAAAATTAATCATTATTCTAAGTTTTTGCCCATTTGTAGTTCCTAAATTGTATTTATGCAAGAGACTTAGCTATCAAGTAGTCACCCAGAATCTATAACTTTTTTTGAATCTTCAGTAATACATCAGACTGCAAGATCTGGTTCACTAACTACCTGATGTGCAACAATCAAGCTCCTATGGCACTACTTTCAAGGAGAAATGGACAAATCATGATAAGCTAATAATTCTCTAGCAGGTTTGAAGTAGATATTTAAGAATCTCCAGCTTTCAACTGTTAGACAAGAACAAAGTATAACTCACTTCCTGTTCGAAATTATACAGCTGAAATGTTGAATGTATGGGGTAACAGGATTATTTTGGTGTCTGTGAGTTCTACTCATTTTGGTACTTAGTAAATTCCTGGCTTCTGGATGATTTCCTTCTGGCTCTGGTTGATGGATCTTGAGATGCTAGTAAAAACAAAGTAGATTGTGCAAGCCTGAAGTCTGCCTACCTTGGTATAAAATAGCACTGAAAAATATTTCTTTTGTTTTGCTTCTCTAAAATGTCCAAAAACCTCATATTGGCCATTATGGATAGAAGACTTTCCCGTGCTTGTATGTGTCCTTTTTTTCCTTAGGCACTGAAACAACTGATTTGTTTATCAACAAGCAAAATCCTTCATGTGTTTACTCAAGTATGCCTTTTGGGTTCAGTACGGTTTATTCCCTTATGAAAGTGTTTGCTAGGGTCTCCTTTTGTACAAAATATTTGCTGTGGTTTCCTGAGTAAATAAGCTGTGCACCAAAATGTGAGCTAGCTATCAGAGCTACAGGAAAATAGTGGGTGGAGTACGAAGTCGAGCAGCTAGCATTTAATAAAAGTCTGTAATGAGTTTTGAGGCCATTTATAAAAGTTGCTCAGTTATACTGCCTAGAGACATGGCCCAAGTGTTGCAGCTACTTCACAGTCTACTTCCTTCAAAATTTGTGACTCATTTTTCTTTTCTTCTGGCTCAGAGTGATTTTGCTTTGTTGATTATTAGAAGCTCATAAATGTTAGGCTAACCCACAGCACACCCTTGTGTAAATTGTTATGTACACTGGCCAGGATACAAAGAACTGTGAAACTAGTTCCACAAGGCCTTGCACACTTTGGACTTACAACAGAACAGAGGATCAGAATTGCCATGTTCTAGCCATCTTAGGAATTGAAGAATGAAATGGGATTTAGATTCTAACCTTCTTCCCCTCCACCTCCAGCTGCCCAGATCCATCCTATAGAGGTTGAAGCTACAGTGGGTGCTTAAGTTCTCTAGTTACTACAGTATCTGATCTTTTTCCTGAGAACTCCTTGAAGGAGGAGGTTATGAAGACGGTTGCTGACAACTCTGTTACAGAAGTGAAAGAGAAATTGTCAACAATAACTTCCTTTAGAATCAGAGTTTTTAACAGTCAATCATTTGACCATTTATATTAAGACCATTAAGTTAGGTTACACTGCTTACATTATGGTTTTGGGTTGGGGGCAGGTTTGAAGATTGTGGATTAAACAGAAAGGTGAGCAGCAATGCGTAGAAACAGGGAACCAACACCAACAGGCACTGCCATCCTCAAATCATGATCAACAGTACATCCAAATGTGAAGAAGGGAGTTACATGGGCTAAGCCTGCCTCATGATGCATCCACTAATCATCCATTTGGCAACTAAGAAAAATGGTAGCTGTGGTTGATGCAAATATACTAAGACGTGCACAAGGAGATGACGATATGGAGAAGATGTCTACCCTCAATTGCCAAATGGGTGGCTGGAAGGCACATGAAGGGGGGAGGCAGAAACTAGCCTACAATGCCCACAGCTATTTCATGCTTTTAACATGCAAAGGAGAGGCATTGTATACCAAGGTCATCAGGGAATACAGGCAAAGTCTTTAGTACAGTGTATTTATTTGATATTCACTTAGATCTAAGAGCTGCCCCATCCAGTCCCATGGCAACAGCCTGAGATAGGTTGGGCTGAGAATGACTGTCAGCCTTGTAAGGTAGCTCAGACAAGAAGCACGCGCAGGAAGAATAGCTTTATCTTTATTGTAAGGTTACATTAACAGAATCTTGCAAGTCCAAAAGTACATCTCTCTCTCCTTGCCTTTACAGTCCAAGAAACTAGGGAGGGTCCTTCTGAGATGTTTGCCACCCCCCTCCACCATTTCTTTTGCAGGCTCAGCTGCCTCTTATCTGACTGTTGCCTAGTCCAAGGATCTTCCTCCTGTCTCCTAATGTCATTCACACATTCCATTACAATGACTGGCCCCAAATCACCAAGGGAGCTGGTGGTTGCAGGTGGACTAGAACCTGGGTTTTCCTCTTCCTCGTCCAACACATTAACCTCTACATCACTTTGGCTCTCTATTAAAGGCATACATTCTGCAGCGATGTCAGTCTACCCAGTGTACGTGCCTTCTCACCTACACCAAAAGAACCTTCTGCTCCTGACAGTCCTTCTCCAGCTCAGTGTTCCCTAATCTAGTGCCTTCAGAATTTGTTGGGACCACAGTTTCCAAAACTGCCAACCCCCTTGGCCAGTTCTCCAAAGTCTTAGCGAGGGCCCATGTTGATTGGGAACTGTGGGAATTGTAGTCCCAACCCAGCTGCAACCCACTGATTTGGGAAAGTTCGGCTAGCTGATGGGAGGAAAAATAGTTGATACCTGAAGCCAAGCTTTCCAGCCTTCTGCTCAGGGAGCTGGATCCCCTGCAGCTGAAATACAGCCAGCAGTAGCAAAACAGGAAGAGTAGTAGCTGTCTGAAAACAAAATTTGGCCGGGCAAAAAGCCAGAGGCAGCTAGGAAAATAAGGGCTGCTGCTTTGATTAAATGAGCCAGTCAGCTTCTTAGCTCACAGGATAGGATGAAGCCCCCATGTTGAAGACAAATGGATAGTTAGATAGATGAGAAATTACAACATGTTAGAAGTAGGACAATAAGACATCTAGCAGAATTAAATGCCTGGG